ACAATGGACCTCGGCTCAGCTGGAGAGTGGCGGCTATGCGGTGCTGTAGAAGGCAGAGTTGGCCCTGAAACAGCTGCTCAGGTCTCAAACAGCTGAGTCCACAATGGGCCAAACAGACACAGCTCATCCTGTCCTCCATCAGCTGTGGATTAGCACTGGATTTACCTTCTTCTTGGTTGTGTGTGATTCAGGAGCACAAGTAAACTGTAAGCTTAGTTTAAAATGAAGCTATCTTGCCATATTTCATTAATAGGTTTCCTGTTATATATTCAATAGCCTCCCTCCTATGTTCATATAGCAATACAAGATACTAAATAATGCCACAAACAACATGGCTGTATAACAGAAACAAGCTTGAACCTAAGTGCCACAACTACACTCACTTCCACCAGAATCACTGAAGCTCTTGTCCTCTGGGTCATAATTGTTCTTTTAGCTATTGATGCATCCATCAAAACTGCAACAATAGTCACCAAAATGCAGCAGCTCTTATGGCAGATGATAGAAATACACATCTTGGCTCTCAGATACAGCAAAAAGCTTTTATGCTGTGACAGAACTGTATGTACATGCTCCTTTTATTTCTAGACTGGTGTGCCAGAATACATTAGAGCTTGTCCACAATCTGCATGTACTGAATATGCATCAGCCAGAGGAGGGCATGTACTGTGTGGATGCAGCATCTGTGTCTTCTTTGTTTCCAGTGAGTGGGCCATTTTCTGATGCCCAGTGACAAGCACCATGGTTCACATCACAGGCAGGTTTCCAGCCATGTGGTGTACAATGAGAAACAGTCATTATGCTGTTGAAGAGCACAGTGCTCACTACGACATGAGCAAGGAACAGTGAGGCAACATGTTGCACTTGACCTCTGAATTGGTCATTGTTTGTATTCCATCAACATTTATACCATACTTTTACTATTAACTGTAAGGTGCTAAAGAAGAATAAAACATTTCAGCTACATGTCCGTGCAGATTCTCAGTCATCCAGGTCATAGTAAGCTGAGTAAATGTAGGAAAAAAATCAACTGGACTTGGTTTTAGGTCGAAGACATTTCACCTCTCATCCAGAACTGACGAAGCCTCTTGGATGAGACGTAAGATGTCTTCAACCTAAAACCAAGTCCAGTTGATTTTTTTTTTTTTCTGTTTTTTCAGATTTCAGCTACACTATTTTCTCTGTGCATCCGTAATTATCTTCAAAATACAAATCTACAGTGTAGTTGCTCGATGCTCTCTACAAAAGACACTTTGAGAAACATGAAAATAAACAGCGACGACCTCTCCCTTTTATTGCTCGTACACCACAGGCTTGTCTCAAACTCCATTTCTGTAACCTTTAGTGGAACGCAGTGAAGGATCAATGAAATTGCAGTGGCTGTCGTGTTCTCACATATTGATCGTAGGTTGCATGTGTGGCTGTGGTCAATAACCTGTACATATAATTGGGTACCAGAGACGAGACAATCACTACAGTCCCATAAGCCTTCCACAGTGTTCTTTCCACATAGGCTTGCCATTAACAGATGATTGTATTGCTATGAAATGCTTGATAGCAAATCTAAAGGTGGGCATAATGATAAAAGTTATTTTGTTGCTCTGGCAGGATTAAATCTCACAACCCTAAATGCCACGGTGCCTGTAAAAAGGGACATTACACAATCTGTGAAGCTGATTGATTGATTTAAATATTGACCACTGTTGCCAACTAGGATTGCAGGCCTTTAGTTCAGCATACAGTGTTTTCACAGCCCACAAAATGCTATATCAGCATATTAAATACCGGTATCATCATAGTGCTAGGTCTTTTACTTTAACTATGAATGGTAAAACATTTTATTTTATTTTATTTTATTTTATTTCATCAAAGTCCTGTGGAGGTTTAAACCTTTTTTTTTACAAGGGGGCGCTGGCAAGATGGTGGCACCATAGGTTACAGAATAAAATACACAGAGCAACACAAACAATAATGAAAATACAAAAATACAAACTTTTGCTGAATTTTCCTACTTATTTTACAGAGTTACATCTACTTTAAAGATTCTCCCTGTATTTTCAACATCCATATATAATGGAAAGATCATGTAGCTGTGAACTACTATAAAGATTTGCAGGATGTCCCATGAAGTCCCTAAAAAGCCTCCAGTTAATCCAAAATGCTATCAGCCAGAGTACTGATAGGAACTAGCAAGAAAGATCATATCTCTCCCATATTAGCTTCTCCACTGGCTCCCTGTAAACTCAAGAATAAATTTTAAAATCATTCTCCTAACATACAAAGCCCTTAATGGCAAGGCTCTGTCATATCTTAAAGACCTCATAGTGCTTTATCATCTCAACAGAGAACTTGGCTCTCAGAGTGCAGGTCTATTTGTGGCTTCTAGAGTCCACAGAAGTAGAATGAAACATGAAAAACCTTTAAATGCCCATGATTTCTTTTGAAATTAAAATGTGGAGGAGTATTTAAAATTATAGGAAAATTGTTGCATTTTTAGAAGATGCAGATTCTTAGTCATCCAGGTCATAGTAAACTGAAAAAAACTTAGAAAAAAAATCAACTGGACTTAGATTTCTAGGTCGAAGACGTTTCACCTCTCATCCAAGAGGCTCAGCTGTGTTGTTGCCTATAGAAGTGCCCCCTAAACTGGAAGTAGGTAGTGTTTAAACAGAGTTCCAGCAGAGTGCATACATGGTCTAGGGTGAGGTTAGTCCTGTTGTTTAGCGTGTCATCCTTCATCAGTCTCTTCTTCACCGCCCTGACAGCGTCTGTGGTGGGATGCAAGTGAACAAGGATGTGACATCATATAAGACCATGGTCTCGTCCTGCTCCAGCTGCAGTTGTTGGACTTTCCTCGTGAAGTCCTGGGAGTTTATTATGTGGTGCTGTGTTTTACCCACCAAAGGAGCCAGGATAGTGGCCACGTGCTTGGCTATGTTGTAAGTCATGGAGTTGATGCTGCTGACAATGGGTCTGAGTGGGGCTCCTTTCTTATGTATTTTGGGCAGGCCATAAATGCAAGGGATGGCATATGCACAGTTAGGAAACGTGTTTCCCTGTACAATGAAATTCCTATATGCCGTCTACATGAATGCCACAAAATACAAATGAAATACACTGCTCAAAAAAATAAAGGGAACACAAAAATAAGACATCCTAGATCTGAATGAATGAAATATTCTTATTAAATACCTTGTTCATTATTGTTGTACCCGGTACTTTTTACCAAACGGACTCTGAGAGACGAGGCACTCCAAGTAACTACAAAACAGTCCTGATTTATTCCATGAACACAGGTAAAAATTAACATTACACGCTCAGGTATCTTCTCTTTTTCTGTGCCCGTGAGTTCTCTGAGAGATTTTTGACCCATTTGTCATGCAATGGTTGTGGGTTATGCTCCTCCTTTCTCCTCCAACCAAGGACATCTGAGGCTGGCTGTCCATTCTGTAGTCTCTGGATTTTAACCATTTGGCAAGACTTGCTCTTGTTATGTTGGGTAAGTTGTGCCTTTTCCATGAAACTTGAGATCTCCTGACCTCAGTGACTGACTTCATTCATGTTTTTATAATGTGTATACTTTTTACGATAGTCAGCTTTTATTTATAATAGAAGTCAATGGGAGTCATCTGAGGCTGGCTGTCCATTCTGTAGTCTCTGGAATTTAACCATTTGGTGAGACTTACTCTTGTTATGTTGGGCAAGTTGTGCCTTTTCCATGAAACTTGAGATCTCTGAACCTCAGTGACTGACTTCATTCATGTTTTTATAATGTTTATATCTTTTAAGATAGTCAGCTTTTATTTATAATAGAAGTCAATGGGAGCTCAAAGTGCTGAGTCATCCTAGTGCTGCAGCTCAATGACACAGTCCTGGAGTGCCATCTGGTGGTCAATAAAATGCAGTGCAATTGAGTCATATCTGTGTCTTCTGTCCATTTTTTGGCATCTAACTCCTCCCGCATTCTTTCACCTAGAAACACCATTCAGGTATCAAAATGTTCAGCTCTTCAAGGACATTCCTTGCCCCATTCAAATGAATGGGCAAAATCTTCACATCTTAATAACTTCAGCATACTTTCAGCTGCAAACACCATTGTGGTATCTAAATGTTAAGCGTTTTAAGGACATTCCTGTTTGTATTTATTTTTTAATAATCTTTATACTTTTTAAGAATTTTAGCTTTTTTCAAATCATTTTTGGCACTTAATAACTCCTGCATACTTTCAGCTACAAATACTGTTCTGGTATCTAAATGTTCAGTTGTTCAGCATTGCATCTCACACTTCAGCCATTTCTTCTCATCCTTCAGCTGTTTCAGCAATTATTTTTAGGCATTTTCAGGGCGATTCTTCAACATATCAGCATCCTCACATTTTTGACAGGAAATGCCTTTCTCTAGTTATTATTATTATTGAGAAAAACCCAACAAACCCCCCTTGAGCAGCACTTGGTGACAGTGGGGAGGAAAAACTCCCTTTAACGGAAGAAACCTCCAATAGACCCTGGCTCTTGGTGGGCGGCCTTCTGCCTCAACCGGTTGGGGTAAGTCGATAGAGGAGAGAGAAAAAAAAGAAATGCAACAAGACACAACAAACAGTCAAAACCGTGCCTTTTAAATTCAACCCTGTCTGGTTTTAGAGATTAGAGCTGAAAGTAAAATGATACAATCTAGAATTGGGGCTTGATAACATTTTGTGCAGACATGTACAGCACTATCAGGAAAAAGGGGCTTTGAGGTTACTCAGCTCAGTCAGGGTGGTGACTTACATGTTTCTGTCCGTCAGGTCCTCAAAGTTGTATCCTCGGATGCGTTGGTGAGTGTCAGATGCAAGTACAGTCCTGCTGTCACTCAGACACCACAGGCACTGCACCCGAACTCCTTCCCATGAGTCCAGCAGGTTTCCATCTAAGTCCTAGGAGACAGGAGAAAACAAAATACATGGAGGAACACCATCAAGATCAGACTGTTGCAGGGAAATACAAGTTCTGGCCATATTTGAGATTTGGGGTCAATATTTTCTTTTCTTGTAGTGAAAACTAAAAATTGGTCCAACACTCTGTAGCTTCAGAACACTTGATGTTTCAGACTCCGAGCTATGACACCAACAGGGGAGAAGTCCAACTACAACACATTTGAACACTCGTGACTTTCTGTGTATAAAACAATGTAATATACACTATATTGGAAAACCAGAAGTGATTGGAATATTTAATATCTATTTTACAAATGCTACAACAACTTTGGTAAATGGTTAATTATTGACAAAAATGATATCTGGATATTTTATGGAACTCTGTCAATAACAATAAGCAGATGATATTTTACATCCATCAAAACAATGGGTTCAAGTCATATTTTAGGCTACTAGGTCGCTCTCAGAATAGTAATTGTTGATTACTTATAATATTAATAGAAATAACAAATTTCAGTGTTTCTCATACATTGTGATGCTGCTAGTCAATATAGACTGCTCTGCACGTGGATAAGGTTTACGCTAGTTTGTAAAATTTGATACTGAATGTTTGCTCCTCCAATCCAGAGGAACACTGAAAAATACTGAAAGACTCAAAGGATGAATCCTCTGTTGAAGCAGACAGTATGAACATGCACGTTGCAGCCGTGGGGAATGTGGATGTAACACCCACACTTTTTTTAAAAACGCATTTCATCCCCCACACTTTTTGGTGAGACGTAACAAAACTAAATAGCCAATGTATACAAAATGACATCAGCAAAAGCATATGAACAACCCCCCACACACAAACACACAGGTCAAGTTAGTTTGAGTGACAGATCTTACAGGCAATCACAACAAATCCACCAGTTAGCGGATGAAGATGCAAACACAAATCACTAGGCTAGCATTGAGGACGACTGGAGACAGCTAAGGAGACGGTGTAGAGAAACAAACGTTATGGCGCAGTCTGAAGTTGAGGCAGTAAATGTGAAGAACACAGCATCACAGTAAATTAGTGAAGACAAACTTGCTGTGACAATGGAATATCTGCTGATAAATACTTAATATCCATCATGTACCCTGTTCACCAACTCAGCAGCTAGTATTACATTGTTAACAAAGTTAGATAGGGCTGTATGATGCTAGCACAAGTAGGCTATTTTTTAAGCAGTCTCACAGTCTTGTCTTACTTAGCTACCACTTACCACGGTCATTTTTTTTGCCACACAGTATTAAGATGCAGAAAACCAAATTGAAGCAGTTGTTCGTCTACTAGTTGTGTCTGTCATCAGCAGAGTCAGAAAGGAATTTCAGCAGCCTCCAGAGGCTGAAAACCCTATTTTAGAGATAGGTAAACTCTATATGTCATAAATAAGAGAGGTGTGTAAAACACATTTAGTTGCACTCAGCTTCAGTCTTGCTCAGATAACCACACCCCAGACAAACCCCATCCCCCACACTTTTAAAAAGCTTGATACGCCCCTGAGTATGAACTAGAGGTATTAGCAAAACTGAGTTAACATTAGAAACTTAAGAAAATATACATGGGAAAGCTGAACAGTGTATTTAGTAATCCATTCAGTTTATTTCAAATGTTTCCAGACTTCAACCAGTGCTGCTGAAGCACCGAGAGGGAAAAGAGAGATGTGGGAGAGGATGAGGAAGACAGCAGTTAAGTGCAGTGCAGAAGCAATAGGCCAGATGGAGCAAACATAGAGAGATAGAAGCAAAGTGGCCTCATTTTTATTCTTCCGAACAGCATGGTTAGAGTGCCCATGGCATGCTTTTCCTTGTTTTCTGCTTTATCTACAATGTTACAACGGAAAATTACCATCATAAATGTGACCTAAAGTTCCAAAAATTAGGTGTATGTATGTTCTAGTACTTCTATGCAGAAGCAGCTCAATTTATACAAGTCTCACAAACTCTTGGTGGCGAGATTTCTTCTTTAACCAACAATGTAAAGTCTTAGGTGATAGTTTAAGGATTTTCTTGAATGGTCATCATCTCCAGGCAATTGTGTGCTCATGCGAGCTTGCCTGATGTTCACCAGTACAATTATAAATGTGGAATTTTTCGACTGCACGCAGTTTTATGGATATATGTGAAAGATTCCAATTTGTTCATGTTAATGTTATATACTGAAAGCACTCTCAATGGGCACGGGCAGACATCTATCCAATTAGACAGAAATGTGTTGACTCTTGGGTGTTTTGGTAAAGTGAGTGACATACTCAATAATGTAATGCCAATGTCTGCTTTTTCAGTTAAGGTTTTGTTTTCCATGCGCAGCTTTATGTTTCACTGCAAAAGACTAAAGTCATTGATCTGGCACATTATTTAAACAACAAGATATTATTGTAGGCAATAATCTAGTTGCAAGCCAGTGACTTCTGTGCTGGTCCCAAGTCCAGACAAATAGAGAGGGTTGTGTCAGGAAGGGCATCCGGCCTAAAAACATGCCAAATTAACCAGATTGGTTGAGGCCCGGGTTAACAACCACCGCCACCAGTGCTGTTGACCTACAGGGTGCTGGCCAGAATTTGATTACTGTTGATCTGTTCGTCCTTGCTCCCTGTGGCCTTTCACCAGTGTCTGGACTCCACGAGCTCAGCTCGCAGGCGGAACCTTTGACGGACTGCTGTTTCCTGCCTCTGCGGTAAACCGTACTCATTTCCTGTTTTCTGTACCTGCACTGTGTTGTGCTTGCTTCCAGATTGTTTAGGAATTAAACTCACTTATTTCTAGGTTCATCTGAATTTTTGAGTGACAACATACACTTGCACCACTTAAAGTACTTGTGTTGCAGAAGTTCTTGCTAACTACCAAATTTAACTTGCTACTTTAGGTCGGCTAGTTTAGAAGCTAGCTAAGCTAGTAGCTTAATCGAGAGCAATGGCTTCCCCCTCTTCCTCTCCTCCTTTATCTTGCTCGGAGTGTTGCATGTTCAGTTATTCCTCTGCCTCCTTTAGCGATAATAGTACTTGTAATAAATGTCAGATGCTAGCAGCATTGGAGGCGAGGCTCATAGACTTAGAAGCGCAGCTCCACACCATGGAGAATAGGCCAGCTAGCTATGCCCATGTAGCCGGTGTGGAGCCTCCTAGACGTAACTTAGCCCAAACTAGCCGCCCCCCACAGCTTCCCGAGCAGCCGGGATCTCAGACAGGTGGCTGGGTGACAGTTCGCAAGAGTCGTAGCTCCAAACGAATGTCCACGGAGCATCACCTGCCTGTTCAC